CATCCAGTGTTAAATGTTTTAATTAATAACTGGAGAATTAGTCCAAAGACAGAGATTTTGTTTCCCAAACATCAACTCTTGCTCTCCTCCCTACCAGAAATGCATGGCTCTGATGGCCCTCACCCTAGGCAGTTCTGCATCACCTGATGCTCTATAATTTTTTCATTCTTTCCCTCCTAGTCTTCCACACTTGGAGACTGCCAGCCAGATTTTCTTGCTCTTTGTATCTTTTACTCCTTCCTTCTGTGCTCCTGAGTCCTCTCTCATGACTCAAGAACAGAAGCTCCCACCAGTTACATGTGTTTTCCCCCACCATTGCTAGCTAAAAGGGGAAGAGGGAAATATCTTCTGAAAATATCAGCACTTTCTTCAAACCCACTCATATCATCTGTTTGCTGATTCCTATCCTGTAGCCTGTGACCTCAGCACTGCAGTTTTAGTTCTGTTTTCTTCATCAGACTGATTACATTGTCAGCACTTAAAATAAACAGGAATTAATAACAGTAAAATTAATCAACACTTGGGAGTGTAACCACTCTTAGAATTGATGGAATCAACTGGTAGGTGATAATTAGAACCAGCCAGAAACTTCTTCTCAAAACTTACATGTAAACTTCCTCCATGTTAGAAACCACACATTAAAATACTCTCCCACAGCAAGCAACTTTCCTTGTTCTTTTTTATATCCTCACAGTGTGGAAGGTCCTGTATAGACCACAAAAACAAAGTAAGAATATCCAACCCTCACCAAATATTGCTTTCACATATTTCTGGCTCATCCAGACCCAGAAAACCACAGAAACACAACTAAGAGTGAACTTTGGAAATTCTGAAAACTGTTTTTCAATCCCAAGAGAGGAAGGCGGAAACATATCTGAGCACTTGGATTCTTCTTCCAAATGGATGTTTCTGTGGTTTCTCTGCCAGGGAGTGCTGCAGTGACTGGGACTGGATGCTGACATCGGTATCCCTTGTGCTGCTCTCTCCACCTGGGTGGGGAATTCAGTGTCAGTGCTCAGCAGCCAGAGGTCAAGTTCATCTGTGTTGGACATTAAAGTTATTAAAGCTATTTAGTGATTTCCATTGCATCCAAACTGTGTTTGCCTTCAAAGTAACGCAAGTTGTTCAACTGCATAAAGGACACAGATTTAACTAAGAGGGTTCCCTAGATGGAGGTCGGGGTAGTGATTAGAAATGGCTTTGATTTTGTGCTTCCAGATAATTTTCCTTTCCTTCTTCTTCCTCTCTTTAGGTGAGGAGGGGTAAGGATTTGTGCTGCTGCTGCTGTTGGTTGAAGTGAGGAGTATGTTCAAATCCTACAGGCAGAAGCAAGATGTGAACACCCTAGCTCAGGAAACAAGTGTAGCAACTTCGCAGTTGTGCAGGGAACATCATCTTCAGAACGACTGAGTGTTGTGGCTTTGATGATTTCTTCAGACACTGTAAGCAGACTGACAAATTGACTTTCAAGTGAAAGGTCATTGAAAAGAATTGTGGATAAAAGCATCTGGATTTACAATTGAAAAGCTACAGAAGTTCAGTTTACAACTCTACTGGGTTCTGTGCGTAGGAGTTTCTATCATATAATTTGGCAGCTTCTTCTGCCTCCTGATTGGGGTTGTAGAAAATAAAAATTCTTTGTGGTTTCTTTCTTTTTTTTCCCCTCTTTTTAAACACAGTGGAGAGTTGTAGTGTTTTGGCAGGTCTGATACAAAGAAATATTGTACTGGCATTGTCTCATATTGTAGGTGACCTCAGGCCTGAACTATACAAGGGAAAAAAATTGGTCTCTGTTGAATAGAGCACACATGTGCTTGAATCAGCTTAGAGAGGGAGTGTGAAAAGCAGAGCACACACACACACGATACATTTATTCCTGATGTTGTGAGCTTAAATGTAATGCCCAGTTCTCATCCTGGGATGCAAATCAGGAGTGGCTACACGGTGTTAAAGCCTGCTCTGCTCTGGTGTATGAGGTTCCTCCTGGTATTCCTCTCCCTAAGCTCACAACTATAATAAAAGGGTATTTGCAAGGCAATTAGGTGGCTGAAATTGCTTAATCTGTCCAAATACAACACATGACTCCAATGGATGGTTGAGTCACAAACACTTTTCAGAGTGTTTGTGACAAGAAGTTTTTTGGACCTTTTTTTTTTTTAAACTTCACCCTCTTTCATGAACCAGGATGGGAACTTAAATCCTGGAAATCCTTACCAATAAAAGCAAACACTGCATGCAGAAAGGCTCTCTGTCACTCCCTCCTCCCTTCCCCTTCTTTGTGGGACATTAAACTAAACTAAACAGAGATTTGTGCCTATCAATATTGACTTGACTGATTTCCCTTTTCCTGACTTCTCTAATCCTGTGGTAGATTTTCTGTGACATTTGCTTCCGGTAGCAGATTCACGTGAATGTTCTCTCTAGAAACAGAACATTTCCAAATGTCTATTAAAAAGCAAAACAATGTGGTCGAAGAAAATAATGGGGAATGTTTTTCTGCACAGTTTAACTTCAGCAGCTTCCGCTATTTTCTTCCTACTTGAAAAAGTAATTTTTCTCCACTATGTAAGGGTTTCCTTGTATAAGAAAACTCACTCAATAGAGCTATTAAGTAAAATAGTGTACCAAGGCTCCTTGCACTGTCTTCTTTGCAGGAATTAGTCACCCAATATGCCCTGAAGTCCAGACTGCAGTCATTAGCAGAAGCCTGGCAACCTAGGTAAGTATCTAGGGCGGAGCGGAGACAACTGCACTCATTTCCTTCTCTCCATCAAAAACTGCTTTGTCCTCAAGGAATAAGAAGGGACCTGCCCTGATTTTGCTTCCAGATGCTTCTCTTGGTCTTTATGTGACAGGAACTAGGCCTTGGAGCAGAACTCATGCTGTTGGATTAGACCCGTCCCTGTCACATTAGAAATCTCAAGCCGTGGCCAAAGTAGAGAACTGGATTCTCTGTGTGCTTTCACTGATGGTAGAAAATGTTTGGGCAAGGAGTTCTACAACCACTAGAGCTAGACTGGGAGAAGTCTGCCTGCTTCCCCTTCCTCTCCCTTGTTCTCTCTCCTTTTGATGCATCCACATTGCACAATGTGTCCTACATCTGCACTGCACCCAGACTAAGTGAGAGGGAAGAACTGATGACAAATTTTGAAATGTCAGCAAAGCACTAAGCACGAATCTTTTCTTCATTTTCTTGGGTTTTGGTGGTTTTTTTTAAGCAGTGCATCTCTATTTTAGTAGTGAACAGTATAAATATGCCCGAAGTAGAACAGCTCAAGTCTTTTTGTGCAGGACCTACATTGATACAGACCTCAGAGAGAATTTGGTGGTCACTGAGGGACCATGCTGCACATCCTCCTCTCTTCCAAATTGCTGTACACAAACCCTGGCTGAGCCCTTTGTTCTAGCTAACTAAATATTCCCTTTCTGCTCTGAACCAGCATTGCCAGGAAAAGACGCTGTCAGTCACAGGGCACATAAACCCTCCTGCAACCCTTTCCAATTGCATGTGTCCACTGTCGGGAACAAATGATATCCAGCACTTAGAGCTGGGGTTGATTGCTCTAGGCATGAAGTTGCAGAGGTCCTAGCTACTCCACAGAGAGGTGGGAGCATTAGGGCCACGTACTGGTCTGTGCAGCTGACATAGGACAGCTGATGGTGAGATGCTGCTGTTTTTTCTCCATGCCTCTGCTCTGCAGATTTAAATCTTTGTTGTTATACAGTGATATACTAAAAGGCCATGCTTTCAATGAGGACCCCAAATACAAATAAAAATTGCAATGGTTTCATCAAAAAGAGTCCTGTGGGCTTGGAAAAGGCCCCTTGAGGTGAAAGCAGCCCCTGGAAGTTTGCAACAGGTTTTGGATGCTGTAGGACCTGTGCATGAGAGGAATATATGCTATCACAGGGTCTCAGGGCTTTTGCCTCTCCTAGCTTCTCTCTCTTTCCTGCTCTAGTCCCATCCTAAAAGTGAAGAATCCTGGGAAACGCATCCCACTTGCAGGATGAGGGCCACTGAATGATCTGGGAAAGCAGAAGAAACTTGATTGTTGAACTTGACTGACTTGCAAACGTAACACTTTTTCCACACAGAAATAGAGTATTGCTAAAGTGAGCAGTCATTGAGATTTCTGTTTTTGTTTGGTCTCTCCCCTCCCCCTTTTACCAGTTTTCCTTCAACTCTGTTTTCCAGTGTCAATAGGTTATTATTATCGAGATCCAAATCTCACAGTTTCACTGAAGGAGAACGTGTATTAAAATACCAGATCTACCAGAAAACATCTGCAACTTGCAAGTCTATTGTACTACTATTATATGAGCAAGCCATTGTAAATTCTTTTAAGTCTGTAACTTATTTCACGTTAACACACTGTGTGTTTTACAACACCATTTCAAAGTTTATGGCCTTTTTTCGTTAGCCGCTTGTTCCAATTGCATCTTATATTTCATCAAATATGGTAAAGAAACCATGAGAATAAATTGATGCTCCATACGAACCCCCCTACAAATGGATGTTGCCAAATTGCTGTAAAATGGTTTTCCTTTTGAGCCCTCCAGAATTGTTAGTAGGTTTCTGAGGCTAAATTCTACAGGGAAACGTTATGACCATTTAAGGCCTCCAAACTTTATGCTTCAGTACAAAAGGCCTAAGGGCGAGGATTTAAAATGGATGAAGTGGAGAAATTTGCACTTCCTTAAGAAAACACAGAGCATTTCCTTCCGCATGTCAGAAATGAAACCAGAAAATACAAAGTAATTCGTCAGGAAATTTTCCTTCCATAATTCCCTCTTCAGCCCTTCCTCTCCCACCCTTCCCTGCTCCCACTGCAGCCTTGCAAGCCTCATTTTCTCCTCCTCGCCGTCGGCTTTATGGCTGCAGCTCCCAGCTCCAGGCGCGGTGATGGACGGCGCTCTGCTCCTCACCTCGTCTTCCAGAGCTTTGCTGTAATGTCTCCTCGTGTTCACAGCTTGCTCCTGCCACCCTCTTCCCCACTCACCTCCCCACCCAGGTTCATGTCTGCAGACAATCCTTCAGGAGACAAGTACCCTTCAGGGACACCCGCTCAGCCGCAAACGACGCGGCATCATTTGGCTCTAATTGGACGCTGGTGTAAAAAGAAAAAAAACACTTGTCATATTTATGAATTACTGTGAGTTAATAATACACTGGGATCCATTAGTTAAAGCACATTTGCTCCAAACATGTGGCTTCAGCTTTTTGTTTTCCGTTCAAGCAACATTTTTTCAGATGAAATGCTGTTGCCGTTTTTCTCACAGGCACTCAGTGAGCCTCAGGGAGTTACAGCATCAATTATTTTTCTCCCCATATGTGGAACAAAATAAAGAAAAAAATACCCGAGTGTCCTAGCCAGAGAAGTTGGAATTATTATCCAAAATAATAATAAAAGAGTATCAAAACATCCAGAAATCAAAAGCTGCAGCCAGCTGAATAAATGTAGTTAAAATTGAAAACATAAAGTCTGCAGAAGATTCTTTTGCGAGTAAAATGGGCTCTGCTCTCTTTGTATTTTTAGCAACGTCCTGGCCTGCCTGAGCCAATTCTTTTTCGCCCAAAGTCTGTCTACTAGAGTGACTTTTCTTTGACTGTATTTCAAATGATAAATTCATTAGTGCCTTGCAGGTGGATTTGCCTGAATTTGAAAACTTCAGAAAGGACAAAAATGACAAGCAAAAATAGAGCACGAATAGAAACTTGTTTTCATACTCTTGCTTCGGAAATGGTGCTGCGTTTACGTGTAATAAAAATCAAGATGTTCGTCTTTCTTCCTCTCTCCCTCTGCAATATTTTTTCAGTGCTGAAGATGTCAAGAGCAGAATTTACCCTTCCCTTGATGCCATCTTTTTTCTCCCCTCCTGTTTCATCACAGCTGCATGGACTGCAGCCAACTCAAACTGTACCTTCGCACTCCACTGCTTAGGACTGTGCTGCACGTTCAATTTGACAAGACTTTTTATTGCAGATAACTGAGCAGACAGACTGGAGCTTCAGACTGGCAACTGCACACCCCAGGATGCCCACACCTCACACCTCACTGCCTTATCCTTACATGGGCTGCTTTCTCCCACATCAGGAAGAGGCAATGCAGCAAACTCTATGAAGCCCTGCTTGCTCTCAGTACCTGTGGCTTAATTTGGAAGCTCCACCTGCTCTTTGGTTCAGGATGTATTTTGCCCGCTGTACCTAGGAAACATTTATGGAACATCTTACGTAAATGCTGCTGCTTTATTAGCAATAAATTTTCCTTTCATTTATAAGCTTGAATTAAGCAAACAGCTCCTTCACTGCTGACTCAGCCTCCAAAGCTGCCCTTTATATATGTCAAACAACATATATAAATTTATAAGGTGAACAATTGTATTTAAGTTGTATTTAAGTACTGATTTAATAATCATGAACTTCGCTGGCAGTATCCTTTGGAAACTAAATCCATAAATTTTATTAGTATTAAATGTTTCTAATGGGAGTTGACAAATACTTGAACTGAGTTGCTTTTTCTCTGCACTTGGCAAAAGGAAAGGGACAAAAATTCTTATTACACAATGAGAAATGCATTAATACTAAAACCCATTCATCTCAATTTTCTACAAATATAATTTAAGACCTTTTACAACCATTGGTGAAATTACAATGTGCTGTGGGGAAGTTGCAAAAATTTTATGAGAGTAATAAAATTGTCATTGTAATACCATTATAGGGTGCAGGGACAATATAGATATTTGAATTACCTATTGTCCTTATGCCAGGCTGAAAAACCTACACGCAGGAGTTATAGCATGTAATGGAAACAACTGCTGATACAAACCAGAGAAAGGAAATCCAGGTCCACTTTAGCTGGCCTAAGACAAATCCTCATTAGAAACATGGACTCAGAATACCCTTCCCACTTGTGTCAACAACAATGAAATTTAAACGGGTGGACTGTTTTACATTTGTGTCAATGGCAGCACAGAGACCAACTAATTAAGCAGAGATTATGTGCAATAAAACAGTGTCACATCCAAACCCTGATGTTTTTAACTTCTGTACCATACTTTCTAGGGTTTGCACTCAAGCCTGACTGAAGGTAATCATGGTGGTCCTCCTCTTTCATAGCCAAAAAAACTTCTCAGGTAGCTCATGGTAAAAGCATGAAATTTTACCTGGAATTAAAATGGTGTTAACTTTCTAGAAGTGGAAATTCCTTTCTCTGAAGAGTAGTGTTGCTGGGCTCTATCCAAGGCAAGAGTATTGCTTTCTCCCTGCCTGTCCAGAGGACAAACAAAAGGAAAAAAGAGAAAGAAAATAAGAGAGGCAATTGCAGCCTTGTACGCTAGCAACATTTCACTGGCTGCATTCAGGAGAGTAATAAAAGAATTGAAATAGTTCAAGCATCTGTCCTTGGCTGGGGGACTTGTAATTATACACTACAGACTCTCCACTCCCTTGGAACAACTGTCTTTGATTCCTATATCTTCTTTTATTACAGCTGAAATACAAGACTCCTGATGAAACCATTACATTTCCATGTGAAATTCACAACTATAAGGGGAAACCTCTACAAACTTGCCAGACTTTTGAAGGGGGGCAGAAACATATGGGCAAAGGTTGTAAAGTTCCCTTCCAAGTTTCAAAGGTCCAACCACTAGGGGCAGCCTGTTCTGGAGTTAGAGATTTATTCTCTTCATTTTAGTAAACATTTTGGAATGGGAGAATAAAAGTTAGTTTTATTTCCTGTTTATTAAGAGTCACCATATTGTGAACTCCTGAAGTTCAGCCTGATCGCTCTCCTGAAGGTCATTGACTGTTTAATCCTCACCAGGATAATGAGAATCATGGCAAAATCACCCAGGAGACATTTTCAAACATAGAGTCAGTGAGATCTACTATGCTTTTAGTACTCCTTAAGGTTTTTGTCCTAACTTCAGACAACATTCCTCCCACAGGTGGGAAAGACTCATAAGCCTTGCTAGGACCCTCAAACAGACAAGTGGAGCTGGCTCTCTTTGCCCAAGTCTTCCCCAGAGGAGACGGGCAGGGAAAGAAGAGGCAGAGATACCAATGGGTCCACATTGAGGCATCTATTTTGAAATCCCCAGGGTACATGGCAAGCCTGAGTCCTGCAAAGAGGGTTCTGGTCAGTGAGTGTGCCATTTTGGGTTTTTCTGGAGGGAGCACCCTGAGGACTTCATTTAGTGGTTTCTAAAAATGCCAGCTGAGGCAGTGCTGCTGCCTCTCCTGTGTCCCACAGGGAGGTGGCAGTGCCAGGACCAGCGCTCACCAGGAAAAGCTGCCTCTTAACTGGCCACAGAAAAAGCATCTAACAGAACCCTCTCTGCCCGTATCCACACTCTTAATATTTTACTGAAAGCAAATTTAGAGCCCACCTTTCTGTGCTCAGACAGTCTAAGCCTGCCCCCTCATCCAGGGAAGTTGCTCAGCAGCCCGAGCTCCCGTCACACTTATTCCCTTGTTTCGCACGTTGCCAAGAGGCAAGGAGGTATTTCCCTACACTGCAACCTTTTATTTTCTGTTCTTTTTAGTCTGGCTAATATGTCTTCTTGGTAACCACAGTATAATAAATTTCATAGAGCATGACCAGCATACTTAGTTCATATTATTCATTTGCAGTCATTTATTTTTTTCCAGCTCCTCTTCCACTCTCAGTCCCCTCTCCCCAGCGCTCACTCTGTGGAATGATAATAATACACACAGAGTGCCGGCTGGCTGAGAAGGACTTAAAAACAACAAGTAAGAGGATCTTTCTGTGCTCACACCTGTTTTAAGATTTGTTATCCTTAAAAAGAAAAGCTGTAGGGATTCACTCTCTTTCTTCCTTGTAGACCCCAGTGGAATATACCATTAAACCACAGGGAGGAGAGAAAGCCTTCAGTGCACTTAAATATACTTATGTCAAATCCATCTCATTCTTCCTGCCTTCTTTCCTCAATCTAGCCACCGTTCCCAAGGGCTGGAGAACATTACAACCCATTCACTTTATATGAATGGGCACAGACAGACTTTTTCACCATTTCGATATGTCTACATTTGCAGGCATATCCTGTAGGCCAACTGAAACAGCCTTAATTTCAATTTACTGTCTCCCTGAGGAACATGCCATTCTCCTGAAAGTGGAAAAAACCCTCAACGGCTATTCCCTGCCCCCCTTCCCTCCACTTCAAGTCAAGATCTGAATTGGAGGAAAATTTCTCCCAAGATTAATGGACTGCCATTCTGATGCTTATAACAGGACACATGATCTTTATTAAACAAGTAACTAACAACTTTCACCAAAATACTGTATTTGGAAGGTGCTCTGTGTTACTGGACACGACTCATCTAAATCTTTTCCTAAGTCCCTGTAGATTGGTGTTATACTAGGAAAAAGAAAACATTCCTCAGTTGTCATTTAACTCTGCCTTGTTTCTCAGCAGTGCTATCAGTAATGACAAAAACAACACTAATAAAAAAGTGGCCAAGGTCATGGCTTGCTAACTTCAGATGCAGGCTAGGATCAGCTCAGTAAAGCCTAACTAGGAGATTCTCCCACCTTCCCAAGACAAATGCTAGAGATTAGCTATTAATGCAACAAACCAGAAACAAAACAGATAACAAATAAATATTCAGTGGATAGCGGGAGTATGAAAAATAACCAATACAGTTTGCCAGACCTTGTTGGTCCCAGCTTTGATTTAGAGCAAAACAAGATGTAGAAAGTAGATTTAGGAGAGGAAAAAGAGTTTCTTTGCAGAAGCACTGATGCCTTAGTGACATTCAGGCTCTGCTGGTACAGGTATTGTAGGATATCACTGGGGCTTTGGCAGTTGTCTGGAAAAACTGCCAACATAGAAGTCAATGTGTAGCATTGCTGGGGGGCACAGCTCAGCAAGTTTATAATTAATCATTTATCATCCAGTAGTCACAGCACAAACCTAGCCCTATCTCCCAGTGCTGTAGATACCATGATATTCCAACAGGCTCCTTAGGAAAGTATTAGACACTGGAGCATATGGCCAAACAGTGATTCATGTTATTACACTGAAGCTGTTCTAGCCTTGCTGATGTATTGCTGAATACTTAATGTTTTCTGTGCGGTCTCTTT